AATTTAACCCATGGGTTAAATTGAAATATAATTAAAATTATTAAAATTGCAAATAGATCCCTATACATAATCTAATTCTAAAAAATGAGGCCCAAATCCACAGTCCGTTTTCATCCAATTTTTCAGCAATCGGGCTTCAATCAAGGACAAGATGGACCCTCCGATGACGCGCGATGGCCTTGCCGGCGAGTTTTGACCTCCACGCCCGAGAAGCCGAACATGAGGAGCTGTCCGTCGATGCCATGATTGATGACTTTTCCTTCGACGCCGGACCCGGTTAGCCCTCCGTCGACACCGGTGCAACTCTGCTGACTGCCTGGTGCAAGTGCGTGTGGTAGCTCGCGTCGGGCTCGCCGTGAGCTCTAACCTCCGGCTAAGTACATCCTCCAAAAAGTTGACGTGGCTGGTGGCTGGTTACGTTGACCGGCGGTGGGGCGTCCACAATGGTGGCGGGTGGTTGTTGTCTGCTGGCGGGACGTCCACGGCAGTGGCTGGTGGCTAGTGGCCGGAGGGGTATGTGGTGGTCGGAGGTTCGTCTCAGCCGGCGTGTGTGAGTATTGTGTGTGTGGTGTCTGTTTGAGTTGTGTGTGTAATAAATGATATGTGTACTGTGTGTGTGCGTGTGTTGTGTATGTGGGTGGCGTGTGTATGCATGTGTTGGGTGTGTGGGATTGATGATGTGGCATGGTGATGTGGTTGGTGAGAGTAATGGTAATCTCCAAATTAACCTTCTTATTTCTTTCACTAAGCACCATTTTCACTTGAATCCAACCCTATATACTCTATATTTATAGGAGTAATCAGTAAAGCAGATAATTGGGTATAAATTAGACTAAACTGTTAACTATTATAAGTCCAACCCATATATACTTAGGCCCGAAGTCAATATATATGAGCATCCTCACATGTGATTGATTTATTCGTCCAGAAACCCTAAAGTTTGTAACATGGTATCAAAGCCTTACATAAATATTTAATTTTTTTATCTCACCTCCCACATCAGTCAAATCTCCGCCTCACGACAGACTTTTCGGCCAAGTTTCATCGTCAGAAGCCGCGCGTGTGAGCTACACGCACCGGCCAAGTTTCGCCTTCAGAAGCCGTGCGTGTGAGCTACACGCGCCGCCAAAAAATTCTACCGGTAGTCCCATGCGCCGGCGCGTGAGAGTCGGAATTTTTTTCGGCAAACATCCGTGAGCTCAGAATTCTATCCTCTTCCTGCCAGTATTTTTAGTTTTCTGTTTTAGGAGGTTTTGGTGTTCGTTCTGCTCTTTTTCAGATCCCTTAATTGTCGGGGTTAGGGTTCGTATACTCTAATTAGTTCTGGTCGTCGACAATTTATGTGTCGTCTCTCATCTATTGTGTGCTCCTGCGCTGCCCATCCAACATCTTTATTCATATTCGTCGCGGTTCGTCGCTACCTGTTTGTCACATCATGTCACAACTTCATGTAATTGCTATTAATATTACTCTTGATGGTCATAATTATCGTGAGTGGGCTTTTTCGGTTGAAATTGTGTGGTTATGGTTTGGTTTTCCACTTAACTGATGATGAACCCGAAAGGAAGGCCGATAATAGCGATGCTGGTGAAATCATGATATGGAAGATTAATGATGGGAAAGTGATGGCTGCCATCGTCAACATCTTCTTTTCGGACAGCCAAGGGAATGTGTTCCTATTTGCAATAGCGCTATGTTCAGGATAGTGGTGCTCTCTTGCACACTCTTATGCAGCAGATTCACATGATTGAACAGAACACCGTGTCCATTGATGAGTACTACTCGATTTTTGATCGTTTGATGGGACCATTGATCTCTATCGTACCTTAGTGCTCGGCGGACGAGTGCTCAACACATAAATTTGTTGAAAAGTTCTTCATTTATCGCTTTGTCATTGGAGTTAGAGCAGAATTTTGAGTCCGTTCGTACACGGTTACTTCATAATTCCTCTACTCTGACCATGGCACAGGCATTATTTGATTTGATTGCTGAAGAGACTCGTCTTCATTCTCTTTCAGTTGCTCCGCCGTCAGTATTACAGAGTGTTCTGGCACCTCCTCAAAGGACATCTTCTCAACAGCTTAGTGCACATAGAGGTGACTCTCCAGAACCTTGTAAGCATTGATGGAAGACCGGTCATAGTGTCGAGAATTGTTTCACTCAGCATTTAAAAAAGTTGACTGAGTACCGTGCTACTGGGGCTCGTGGTACGACTTCTACTACAAAGGGGTCTGTTTCTGCCGCTGCTGCCTCTCTTATCCATCCACCTCAGTCTTGGGTCCTTGAATCTGGAGCATCTTTTCACGTGACATCTGACAAGTCCCAGTGGTTGCCTGCAAGGCGGTCCCGATGGTGCTTCTATTCAGACAGCTGATGGCACTTCTTTTCATATCACTCATGAGGGTTCTCTATGCAATTCACGTTTTTCAGTGCCTAGTATCTCCGTCAAAATTGTTTTGTTGGATTTGTTGACTCATTCTATTTTATTCAAGATCGTCAAAGCAGGGCTGTGATTGGGACTGGCCATCGCCGTAAAGGTTCTCCGAGTCTCTACATCTTAGACTCTTTGCATCTTCCCTCTTTCACTGGTTCTACCGCTCGTGTATTATTCGTTGCCTCATCTTTCACCAAGTGGCATCATCGTCTTGGTCATTTGAGTGGGTCTCGTTTGTCTACTTTGATTAAAACTGGTTGTTTAGGTCGTACATCTATCGAGTATAGTTTTCATTGTAAGGGTTGCAAGCTCGAAAAACAGCTGCAACTCCTATATACTACTAGTATTTCTCATTCTTCTAGACCTTTTGATCTTATTCACTCTAATGTATGGGGTTCGTCCCATTTTCCTACAAAAGGTGGCAATAAATATTATGTTCTTTTTATTGATGATCATTCTCGATATACTTAGATTGATTTTATGAAACATCGTTCTCAGTTGTGTTTCATTTATAAAGATTTTGCTCGCATGATTCATACTCAGTTTTCTACTCCTATTCGAGTTTTCCGTTTTGATTCTAGTTGTGAGTATTTATATAACAATTTTTGGTCAGTTTTTTTTTACCTCTGAGGGCACTCTTGCCAGCTCTCCTGTCCTGGTGCACATGCTCAGAAAGAAAGGAAACACCGCCATCTCATTGAGACTGCTAGAACCCTTCTCATTGCCTCATTTGTTCCTTCTCATTTTTGGGGAGAAGCTGTGTCTACAACTGTTTATCTTATCAACCGACAGTCTTCCAAATTGTCTGGTAAGTGTCCTCGTGAGGTTTTTTTTGGTATTGCTCCTAGCTATGATACATGCTATGTATTGCTTGCTCCTCGTGAGCGCACAAAATTGACTGCTCAGTCGGTTGAGTGCGTCTTTTTGGGGTATAGTTCTGAGCATAAAGGTTATCGTTGTTATGATTTTTCTTCTCGTCGCATGCGCAAATCTCGTGATGTAACTTTTGTCGAGGATCGCCCTTTCTTTTATAACCCTTCCACTCATCCCACATCTTCTTTAGAGTCTACGTCATTCTTATGTCTTCCTCCTATTTCCTTTTTTGATGATGATGTCCTTGTCTCTTCTCCATCTTCCACTCATGATGAGCCTGCACCACCCATTTCTGATAAGCCTCCACCATCTATTTTTTATGAGCCTCCACCAGATAAACAACCCATCACACAAGTCTATACTCGTCGTTCTAAAGGTCACACAACGCTTCCACCTCATTCTACTATAATGGCCTTGATGCTCCCATCCTAGATTATCGATTGATTCTAATGTGTCACATGCCATTCCCGGAAAGTCTGAGGTTAATCAGAGATATAATTTACGTGATCTTCTATATTGAGCCTATTGATAAGTTGGGCTTTCCACGTGCGGGTGTTATTATTGATGAGCCCTCAACCTATCAGGAAGCTTCGAGTAATCCGGAGTGGCAACTGGCTATGTCAGAGGAACTTGTTGCGCTTGATCGTACTGGCACTTGGAATTTTGTTCCGTTACCATCGCATGCCGTGCCTATCACCTACAAGTGGGTCTTTAAGATTAAAACCAAGTTGGATGGCTCCATTGAGAGATATAAAGCTCGTCTTATTGCTAGAGGCTTTCAGCAGACTCACGGGCGAGATTATGATGAGACTTTTGCTCTCGTTGCTCACATGACGGTTGTTAGTACTTTGATTACAGTTGCTACTCGTTCCTGGACCATATCTCAGATAGATGTGAATAATGCTTTCGTTCATGGTGATCTGCCTGAGGAAGTTTATATGCAACCACCAGCGGGTGTCGATGCCCCCTCTGGATATGTTTGTCGTCTGCGTCGCGCATTATATTGTCTCAAACATGCTCCTCGTGCTTGGTTTGAGCGTTTTGTTTCTGTTATGTTGGTTTCTCCCCTAGTGATAATGATCCTGCTCTGTTTATTCATCTCTCTCCACGTGGGTGTACTCTACTTCTTCTATATGTTAATATGTTAATATGTTAATGTTATGTTGATTACGGGAGATGATATAGAACATATTTCTCATGTCAAGAAGCAACTTGGTCAACAATTTCAGATGTCCGATTTGAGTCCTCTTAGCTACTTTTTGGGCATTGAGGTGATGCAATCTACCTCGGGCTATAACCATTCTCAGTCCAAATACATACAAGACCTTCATGTTCGTTCTTGTATTACTGATAATCGCATAGCGGTTACACCTATGAATCTTCACTTACAGCTTCGTGTCCCACTGATGATACGCCTCTTGAGGATCCCACTCGCTATCGACATATTGTAGGCAGTCTCGTTTACCTTACTGTTACCAGGCCTGACATTGCTAACGCAGTTCATATATTGAGTCAGTTTGTGAGTGCTCTTACTTCGGTTCATTTTGGGCATATGCTTCATGTGCTACGATACATAAGGGGGAACATCATCTCAGTGTTTATTATATGCTCGTGATAGTCCGCTTCAGCTACCTCGTCCTCTACAAATGGACCCTCTTCCTCGACGGGTCTCAGGTCCTCAACATCGCGGCCACTGCCCTTATCACCACCGGCCACCGCTCTGAATACGCTGCCGTCGAAAACCCCTCCTCCTCGCCCAATCTGCCGCGCTCCTCGAGATCCTCCACAGCCTGACCGGAATCGTCAGATCTCCGGTCGCCGCCACCCTTCCCCAATTAAGCGACCGGGTCTAAGTCGCGTGGGGATCCTGTACAGCTTCCCCGAGATCCGAACTCATTTTCTAGTCGGATCCCTCGTCATCAGCTGGTTGATTGCGGAGATTATCTGCTACTCGTTTTTCGGGGTGAAGGAGGCGTTCGGGCACGCGCCGTCTGGCTGCTATGGCTAAGGTACTGCACGTTTCTGATGTTGTACCCTATGGAGATTGGTAGCGAGGTGGAGCTGATCTGGTGTGCGCTGCCGTACATGAGGAGCACCGTTAAGTACAGTGTGAGAATGCCCAACAGGTGGAATTTTGCATTCGATTCTTACTATAGAACCCTTGTGGATCTATCTGTACACCTCTGTTCTTGAATTTCTCCTAAATTAGAGTTGGATGTATGCAATTTGTGATTTAAAATAACCCGAATATATTATTTGTGTTGTCAGGAATTGAGACTAATTTGCTTCTATTTTGAATCTGCTTTTGTATATAATTTTTGGGATTCGAGAGTAATCTAAATTTTATTGTTTGGTTCAATAAGACGTGACTACTTTTAGCCTATGTTTTGAATATGTGTTGCTATATATTTGTATTTCAAGATTATACTTTGTGGAGTACATGTAATAACCGCATCAAAGTGTTAAGAATAACCCCTATCAGTGATGTACTTATATTTCTGAAGATTAACAAGAATGTTGTGATACAGGATAAACTCAGAGTGGTAGTATTCATATAATATATGCTTATATGTACATGTTTATTTATTTGTTGAAGTGAACGACAGGTACAACTGCTAAGGACAATGCTACAATGGGAAAAGCAACTGCGATCAGAAGCAAGGACGAGAATTTTAGCGACGGTGGCTCCAGAGAGAAAGAATTTAATTAATTAATTGCTGCTAACTGAATGTCACCCCAAGTTGAAGTGATCTTGTGGTTTCCCATGTCTTGAAGCAAATATTGTCATAGGTAACCCACTAATTCTTAGACTTATGTTTTGATTATTAAGATATAATGATAAATAACTTTAATTTGAAGAACTCGGTGCTGGTTTTTTAGGCATAAAATTGCAGCCTATTAATGTGTTTTCTTTTCTTTTTTAGTTTTTTCCTTTTCGTTTTCCTTTCTTCACCCCTGCACCGACTGAGCTGAAATTGGATAATTTTGCTATAATTTAAGTCATTAGGCGTTGCTTGTCGGGCATTTATAACCTATTCATTAATTGAGTGATATCGCCCAAGAAAGAAAGGTTGATAAATATTAACAAGAAATGATAATTCTTTCAATTGTATCTATATATTTATTTTTATGATAATAATAATTACAGTAATAAAACCACCATTTGAGATCTAGAATTTCCAATATTATCATCCGTATTTGTCTATTTGGCAAATTTTCCTATGGTGATTGTACCTTTTTAGTGGATTAACTATAAACTGGCATCATCTTGTGATTGTCATGATCCGCAGGAAAGAAATTATGTTCTTATAACTCGAGGCAGCACAGTCGTGGTTATGATTAAATGGGTTTGTCCTTAGCTATTGCATGTGCCTCTTTGCATTATGGTTTGAGCTTTGTCATTCGTGTGAAGTACTTGCTATTGAAAATATTATTGATCACATGTCACTTTTGTTTTTGTTGATTTCCTTTTAAAATTTATTTTGATTTTAACTTGTCCTTTATTTGCTTTGACATGCATATTAAGGGCCACGACTCTCATGGAACTGATGATTGATGATTGCTACTGGAAACATTGTTCTTAGACTGCAGCTGGAACATGGACTGGCTGTTGAGAGATTGTATACTGGTTCATCTATGACCTTTCTAAACATGGCAGGTTTGTTCAGCCAAACTTATTATTGTGAGACAACACCCCCTTTTTCATTTTATTTCTTCTTCTTTCAGGATTTTCGATAAGTCAACAGAGTGCAAGTATTGATAAACTTATGGCTTTCATGGCATGTAAGTAATAAGTTTCATGTTAGTCATGTGCGAAATTACTTTAATGTCTTGCTTCTTCATATTTTAATTATTATACATTGATTGGGAAAGCTTAACACATACATACGAACATTTTTTTGTGTGGCTGCTTGGATTTAGCAAGAGAAGGTCCCAAGGCTAGTGTTTCGAGGTTCATATATTCAAGCTCTATCAGGAGATATGTCAATTTAGAAATATGATACAATGAGATTTACTATGTCATTTATGACAACATGTAATTCTGATGTATTTGTTTGGATTTGTCACCATACAAAATTTCAATTACGATGAATTTTGTCACTGTATTTATTTTTTCACGACAATTTTATGTTATTATATCTCAAGCTTTTGATGGCAATTTTTTTGTTCGTAATCATAGAATTAATAATTTCTTGACAAAAGAATTCGTCGCTTTTGTGTGTTTTTTGATACAACGAATATTTTGTCACTATTATTTTTTGACATTTTTGTTATCGTCATATTTAAATTTTCTTTCTGTGACGACTAATAATTCGTAATTATAAAGTAACTTTTTCATGATGAATTATATGAAATATGATGACTTTTATAACAAAAACGCCACAAACATATTCGTCACTGAAATTTTATAAATTTGATAAAATAATAAAATCGTCACTAAAAAAAATATTTAGATGACAAAGGTAGGTTTTCGTCATATAAAACTTATATTTTTATGACAAAATAATCATTTACGTGACAAAATTCTCATAATAAACATGACAAAATTATCGTCACGACAGATGACCAAATAATATGACGATACATATAATCGTCATTGAAAATGAAACATTTGGTGACAAGTTCGAAATTCGTCATCTAGACCTATTATGACGCGGCTACTGTGACGATCTCTGTGGCGATAAAATTTCGTCATCAATTTACTTTTGTGACGAAAAATAAAAGCATGTTTGGATATGAAATTTTTTGGTTTTGTTAGAATTTTTAGTTTGGTATGGTTAATTTTGAAAAAAAGTAGTATGGTTAGTTGTTAGTGGGTATATTAAAATAATATTTAAAATAAAATAATTAAAATTGAGTGATATAAAAGTAGGAGATAGATGATTTAAAGTGATGGTTAATTAAAATAATGTGAGTGGATGAATAGTGAATTAAGGTTGACGTGGTGTGTACGAATGATTGATTGGTATTATTTAATTATATTGATAATATTGATGATAGTGGGGTTGAGTTAAAGTTGAGTTAAAAAAAATGGTTGAGTTAAAATGTTGATTTTTTTTTGAAATTTCTTGTATACAAACATGCTTTAAGGTTTACATGACAGATTTTATCGTCATGTTTTCTGAAATTTCTTGTAGTGGCTTCATGCTTACTCGGATTCTACTTGAGCAAGTAATCCAACTTATCGTCGTTATGTCACTAGTTATTGCATATTTCTTGATTCTTCTGTCCTTACATGGAAGTCCAAGAAGCATGCAGCTGTATCTCGATCTAGCACAGAGGCAGAACTTCGAGCACTTGCTACTACCACCTCAGAAATTATATGGCTTCGATGGCTGTTAGCCGATTTTGGTGTTCCATGTGATGATCCTACACCTTTTCTTTATGATAATACTGGAGCAATTCAAATTGCCAATGATCCAGTAAAGCATGAACTTACAGAAATACATTGGTGATGATGCTTCCTTTACCCGATCTCACTGTCATCAGAAAACAATTGTTTTTCAGTATGTGCCGTCAGAACTACAAGTGACTGATTTTTTCACCAAAGCACAAACCAGAGAGCAACATCGACTTCACTTTCTCAAACTCAATGCTTCGGATCCTCCACCTCCACCTTGAGTTTGAGGGGGCGTTAACTATTATAGGTCATCCCATATATACTTAGGTCGTACTTAGGCCGTAAGTTTGTATATATGGGTCATCCTGACTTGTAATTTATTCGTCCAGAAACCCTAAGGTTGTATATATGACATCCTGACTTGTGATTAATTTATTCGTCCAGAAACCCTAAGGTTTGTAACATAAACCACAATCGTGCAAATAACCTCATATTCATCAAGTAGAATTTGCTTACAGTTTCTTTTTTTCTTTTTTACTGTAAGTGGAGGGCGAGAATGGAAGAGTTCAACTGAGATTCCATATATCTTTATCGTCATTCTTCTTTGACTACTAAATCATTAAAATATTAATTAATTCATTCTAAAGTGGTTGATTGAAGGTTAAAGTATTTCCTGATGATTTTCTCAGATAGGTCATCTATCTATTTCTACAGATAAATTTGAGAAGTACTTTTACTTTGACATTTGTTGACGTGCCTCAACTACTTTTCTTCAAAGAGACTAGAGATATTCAACATATTACCCCAATTCTGGAGAAATTTTCATAATAAAAAATTAAATGTTCAAAATCATTTCTAAACTTAATAAATTAACTAGATTTGGAACGCTGAAATATAACCATACAAACTCTTACTTCTCTAAATCACCAGTAGATATTACGGAATATATCTTTCTTCCCATAGCTTACTCACATTGGTAACAGATACATAAGTTGTTGAAGAATTACAACCAAATGCAGGTTCATTTTTCAATTGAAACTTCAGATTTTATTCCAAATGCAAGAACAAATTATCGCTTCCACAATGTTTGCTTCCAAGTGAGTTAAAGCTCAAATGATTTAATAAAATACTGAAAGAAAGGACATTCTTACTTCATTACTTCCAAAGACACGTACAGTGGATATGGACTTTGTTACCTTAGTCGGTGAGGAAGAAGAACTTTGGTATTTGTTGAACCTGGTCAAACTCAGCCATGCCACGTGGAGATACCTTTATCCACCTCAGCAGCAACTCTAGTGAGCAGCAAGGACAATGGCGTGTGCATGCAGGCATTTAATGCTATGCAAAAGGGACATAGTACAAAAGACACGTGGAGAAAGGATAGCCGTAGGATTTGTATGGTTTAAACTTAGCCCTTGATCTTACTGTAGGGTTTGATAGTTAGCATATAAATATCATTGTTGTTAGCTTTCTCTTTGTACGAGACATTACCAAGAAATGGAAAATATGTTATGCATTTTTTGAGCTTCTTCTGCAACTTTTCCCTTTCCATCTTTTATTGTTTGTTTTCATGGTATTAGAGCAGGTTATTAACCTGTCTCTGGTCACCATCCATTGAAAAGTAGCTCGTCTTTTAGTGCACAATGGCTGAGGGGAGTCATATCAGCTTAGGATCCAACCACACAACAGGAAATGGATCAAACAGTGGACCTGCTCCCTTGATCTTTCCCCAGAGCCAGCTCATATCCACCAAGTTGGATGATAATAATTTCCTTATCTGGAAACAGCAAGTCTTGACAACCATAAAAGGTTATGGTCTGGAAAAATTCATCAATGGTGAGGGTGCTTCACCACCAGAAATCGTGCTGGATCAAGAATCACAGCAACACCAACCAAATCCAGACTACCTTTTGTGGCAAAGGCAAGATAATCTCCTTGCATCTTGGTTGCTGTCTTCTTTAAGCGAGGGAGTTCTCATTCAAACTGTTGGCCTGGACACATCTAGACAGATATGGAAGAATCTTGAAGCAAACTTTGCCAGCCAAACCACAGCTAAGTTGATGCAATATAAGATGCAGCTCCAAAATCTAAAGAAGGGTAATCTTACAATGACTCAATATCTGAACCAGATGAAGGTGTGTTTTGATTACTTAGCCTCAGTGGGTCATGCAGTCATGGAAAGAGACAAAATTGTTCACATTCTCAGTGGTCTTAGAAGTGACTATGACCCAGTTATGGTTTCAGTCACCTCAAGGGTGGAACCTTATACAGTGGCAGAAATGCAAGCTCTTCTCCTGATATATGAATCTAGGCTGGAAGTGCACTCTCAGTTCTCATCCAATGCTCATCTTGAAGGTTCACAGCCTAGTGTCAACACTACCACTCATTTTAATCAAAGGAAACCACCTCAAAATGATGATACAAGAGGAGGATTCAAAGGCTCAAATTACAATAGGGGTGGAAGAACAGGTGGTAGAGGCTTCAGGGGGAGAGGTGGAAGGTTTCATGGAAGTAGGCCGGTTTGTCAACTGTGCAAGGTGCAAGGACACACAACAGATAGGTGTTGGCACAGATTTGATCAGAATTTCACACCTCAGCAACACAACACTGCGCCTCCTGTGAACAGAAACCCTACATTAAACTTAACTCATTATGCTGGTTCAGAACTTGGTAATGATAGCTTGTGGTATCCAGATTCAGGAGCTTCAACACATGTCACTAATGAGCTGGGAAACATGAGCATAGCTTCAGAGTATGGTGGCCAGAATAGACTTCAAGTTGGGAATGGAGCTGGAGTGTCAATCAATCACATTGGTGATGCTCTCCTAAAGTCATCAAATGCCTCAAAGGCTTTTATTCTTAAAGAACTCTTGCATGTTCCTTGTATCACAAAGAACTTAATCAGTGTGTCTAAGTTTGCCCTTGACAATGATGTCTATTTTGAATTTCATCCTACTTTCTGTGTCATTAAGGATCCAACAACTCAAGCAATTCTTCTCAGAGGGAAAGTTAAGGATGGACTTTATCAATTCAACCTCAAGCCTGTTGGAAATTCTCAGCATCAGCCTCAAGGAACATCTTCAAACCTTGGTGATTTTTCAGTTAATTATGCATCTGTAAATAAAGTCCCTAGCCTAAGACTTTGGCATCAAAGGTTAGGGCATGCTAATTTGGATATTGTTAAAAGAGCTCTTGAACAATGTAATTGCTCTTATGCTGTTGATGGTGACCTTGGTTTATGCATTTCTTGTTCTGTTTCTAAAAGTCACAGACTTCCTTTTGGTGCTTCTGAAACTGAATTTGATTCTCCTTTAGAGCTTATCCATACAGACTTGTGGGGACCAGCCCCAATAAAATCTTCAAATGGCCATTCTTATTATGTTGTTTTTGTTGATCATTTCAGTAGATATAGTTGGCTTTATCTGTTGAGGAATAAGACAGAAGTTCATGATGCATTTGTTCATTTTAAGAACTTAGTGGAAAATCAACTTAACACTAAAATTAAAAGAATTCAGTCAGATGGTGGAACTGAGTTCAAAACTTTAGTCAAAATCTTTCAAGAGAGTGGCATTGAACATAGAATATCCTGCCCATACACCCCTCAGCAAAATGGGGTAGCTGAGAGGAAACACAGGCACTTGACAGAAATGGGGTTGGCTTTGCTTCATCACTCTAAGTTACCAGCAAGATTTTGGGATGATGCCTTTACAACTGCCTGTTACATTATTAATAGGATACCAGCCAAAGGATTATCTTATGCTTCACCATTTCAGCTCCTTTATAAAAGAAATCCAGATTACACCATGATAAAAGTGTTTGGTTGCTTGTGCTTTCCTCACACAAGGCCTCTTAACAAACATAAGTTAGAGTTTAGATCAGCACCTAGTGTGTTCTTGGGGTATAGCCCTTATTACAAGGGATTTAAAGTGATGCTGCCCTCCAAAAAGATCATTGTGACAAGGAATGTGGTCTTTGATGAGTGTGTTTTTCCCTTTGAAGAAAAGGCTCAAAATGTGGACCATCACACTACAGATTCACATCCTATGAGTCTGCCAGTTCCTGAGAAATTCTTCAAGGTTAATGCTGAAGAGACTAATGTGCTAAAGGATAACCAACAAACCAATGGAGTTGGTGAAAGTAGTCCATTAAGCCCTTTGGACAGAGAATCTTTAGTTGAAGATCAAGGCTCTTCTTCCAGAAGTTTAAGCAATGCCACTATACCCTTGGTAGTGGAACTTCCCTTTAGTCACAGCCAACATGAAAGTACAGCAGAAGAAAGACCAGACACAAATAGAAATCAGCATCCAATGGTTACAAGGTCTAAACATGGAATTTACAAACCCAAAGTGTATCAGACAGAGATACTTGACAAGGAGCCAATGTCAGCCTGTGATGCCTTGCAAAACAGCAAATGGAAGACAGTAATGAATGAAGAATATAAGGCTTTAATCAAGAATGGGACTTGGACACTTACAACTCTACCAGAAGGGAAAAACTTGGTTGGCAACAAGTGGGTTTTCAAGGTTAAGAGGAATTCTGATGGAAGTGTGTCAAGATATAAGGCCAGACTTGTGGCACAAGGCTTCTCACAAATGCCTGGTTTTGATTTTAATGACACTTTTAGTCCTGTGATAAAGCCAACCACCATAAGGGCAATAATGAGCATATCCATTTGTTACTCATGGCCAGTGACTCACTTAGATGTAGATAATGCCTTCTTGAATGGCACTTTGGAGGAAGAAATATATATGAAACAACCATATGGTTTTGAAGAGGGTGGTGAAGATCTGGTCTGCAAACTAAACAAGGCTTTATATGGCCTGCAACAAGCCTCAAGGAGTTGGTTTGCTAAAATAAAGCCAGTACTTCTGGAATTGGGTTTTAAAAACTCTAGAGCAGACACTTCTCTTTTTGTTCTTATCAAGGGAGCAAAGAAAATTTACCTTCTCATCTATGTTGATAACATTTTGATAATTGGAAATTGCAACACTGCCATTAAGGAAGTCATTGATCACTTGAAGGGAAGCTTCTCACTGAAAAACCTTGGAGAAGTGAAACTATTCCTAGGAATTGAGTTCAAAGAGACTTCTCAAGGTATGCATCTAAGCCAAACCC